TCTTCTCTCCTTGTCTAACTCCGTAATCATAAGTTGCAAGTCGTCCCTTGAGTTACTCAGTAGTGCAATGTCATCGGCGAAGCACAGGTTACTAAGGTACTCTCCATTAACTTTTATCATTAACTGTTCCCATTCTAGGCCTCTGAAAACTTCCTGTAAGCATGCGGTAAATAGCATTGTGGGGATTGTATCCCCCTGCCTTGCACCTTTCTTGGTTGGTATTCTGTTGCTTTCTTTATGAAGGACTGTGATAGCAGTTGATCCCCTGTAGATATCTTCCCGGATGTTTATATATGCTTCATCGACGCCCTGACTCCGCAGTGTTCGCATGACTGCTGATATTTCTACTGAATCAAACTCCTCGTAATCTATGAAGGGTATGCATAGTGGTTGGTTATATTCTGAGCATTTCTCTATTACTTGATTGATAGTATGAATGTGGCCGATTGTCGTGTAGCCTGTTCGAAATCCTGCTTGTTCCTTTGGTTGATTGAATTCTAATGTTTTCTTAATTCTGTTAGCAATCACCTTTGTAAATAGCTTGTATACTATGGAGAGCAAGCTGATCGGTCTGTAATTCTTCAAGTCCTTGTCATCTCCTTTCTTATGTATTAAGATGATGTTAGCATTCCTCCAAGACTCTGGTACTCTTTCCATTAGGAGACATCTCGTAAACAGGGTGGCTAGTTTTTCTAACACAATCTGTCCTTTATCTTTCAGCAGATCTGATGTTACCTGGTTTTCACAAGCAGCTTTGCCTCTTTGCATGCTCTCCAAGGCTTTTCTGACTTCTATCATTACTGGTGGGGTGTCATCTGGGTTACTGCTAGTTCTTATAGTATTAAGGTCATGATTGTCCCGGCTACTGTACAGATATCTCTGTAAAACTCCTTCACTATTTTAACTATCCTATCCATATTGGTAGTTATTTTGCCTTCTTTGTCCCTTAGTGCATACATCCGATTTTTGCCTATTCCAAGTTTTCTTTTCACTGCTTTGACACTTCCTTCGTTTTTCAAAGCGTGTTCTATTCTCTCTATGTTATACCTTCTTACATAGGATACCTTACGCTTATTAATCAACTTTGAAAGCTCTGCCAGTTCTATTTTGTCTGTTGTACTTGAGGTTTTCATGCATTGATGCTTCTTAATTAGGTTCTTCGTTTTCTGGGAAAGCTTGCCAGTGTCCTGTCTAACTACCCTGCCTCCAACTTCTACTGCACACTCCGTAATGATGCTCGTCAGATTATTACTCATTGTATCTACGCTAAAGTTGGTTTCCTCAATAAAAGCCAAGTACCTGTTCTGAAGCGAGACGCTGAATTCCTGTACTTTCCCTCCCAGCGCTAGCTGATTGATTGGCTTTTGCGTATCAGTTTCTGTCGCACCTTCATAGTTAATGTTAATCATTGTGTGTGTTCCACCACACCTTTTGAGATCTTGTGCCATATAAAGGAGCTTCCTCCCCTTCCTCTAAGGGGAGGAAGCACTAAGAGAACATGTTAAGGAAGCAATGTGCAATACCCATAGACCGTCGCGCCGTCAAGTGGAATTCAGGAGCGTCCTCTTAAGGATAGTCAGTCTTCCTTGTTCGGCTGTGCCTGACTGTGCTACACAGCCTCAGTCTTAACATGTTAGCAGGAAACGAACATTACGACTGCATGTTTTCTTCATCAGTCAATAAACCGTTCATCAGTCAATAAACCGGGCCCTTCGCAACAAGATAAATCTGATTCATTCTGGAGAGATACAAATCTTTCGTAAAAATACGTGGTAACTTGTGCTTTCACTGACAGTGTACACATATTAGCTTCAGTAGGTTTTCTGTAGCCACCTGGTGTTAACACACTGCAAGCAGTTTGCTTGTTGACCTGGTTTGAGAGCGAAATCATGGCGAAATGCTCTCCGTGCCCAAAGATGTGATGATGTGTGATGTTGAAAGAAACCATCCCGATAACAAGGATTTTTTCACTGCATGTCAAAGGCTGTGAAAGCACCTAGAGTGACAGCGATAATGAGGAGCAAGTGGTGCTTTATGTTTCTTCATGCGTTAATGTTTTATCGCGCTCATAAGTCACCTTAATTATATTTCAAGTTCAGTTATTATTCATTCAAAATACAAAAAGACACAGTTAAAATATGCAGACTGGGGTCCCGAAGTCAAGTGACTGCAGAAGGAGCCTTGGTTAACAATAAACGGTGTAATTGTAACAGCATGTAATATTACACAACATAAGTCGAAGTGAACAGTTAAAGTACAAAAAACATGGTCAAAGCAGTACAAGTACATAATACACAGTTGTACAAGTGGATTAAAAAAAAACCAAAGAAGAAAACTCAGGCTAAAATTTCAAATTACTTGTACACTTTATATTATGAAATAGTTTTGTTTTGTTGTCAGGCAAGTTATGCAAAATGAAATTTTTAAGTTAATGTTTGAATGCATGTAATGATGACAATGATTTTACTGAGTACAGTAAGTTTAGCGTATAATATCCTTCAGAAAGATCAAAAGAAAAGCATAGTTCTTGCGCCTTGCATGTAGCATAATTATTGTGGATATCATGAAACACTGCATGCTGCCAACACGCTCGAGCTTGACCAGGGAAGGGAAATGTTTAGAATAATGAAACATGCAGAATGGCCGCAATCCACAAATTCTGTAGTTCACCCGTATTTTCTGAATATCCTTATTATTTGTCAAATTTTTGCATTGTTGAATTGTTCGATGTTGCAAAAAACATACATGTGTATTCTTTTCGATATTCGTGTTTCGATCATGCTGATTGGGCCTGTAACATCCGAGTGCAGTGAATTGTCCACAGCTAGTCTGAGCATAGCGGTAACACAAGTGCTGCTGAATGGGTCGTTAAATGATTGTGTTCTATTTAAGAAGCGGCTCCGTGTACCTGACAGCACATGTAATGACAATGGTGTAGCATGTTTGCAAACCATCATCACATTTAACATTCAGTCTTATGTAGCAGCGATGGCACCCCTCGCGTGCAGCCTACTACTGCGGCATATCCGTCAGGCAGGTTCGGTACATACCATCTTGGAGTGCTGTTCACTTCATACACCAATTCTGCTTCATGCACTTTTCTGTAGCTTGCACAGGATTTTGCAAAATATCGTTGATGCATGGTAATGAAGCTGAAGTATAACCTTTTACACCGTGGCAAATAGTTAGGTAGCGAGTTTCCATGGTTTGGGAAAGCATCTTTTTTTCATATACATTTCAGTGCAGCTCGGGACTTCAACCGGTGAAAGTGGCATGGGTTGTACGCCTGCATGTCCTTTCGGTTCCAATGCTGACAAATGAGTTGACCCTCTTCCGGGCTCCACCTTGAATCGTATAGGGCACCACCAATTGTTTGCGGGCATTGTGAAATAATGGCTGAGTACGCTAGAGGGTCATTTATTTCTCAACACTATCAGTGAAGGCATCATCACGGTGTGGCAAATTGATTGTAATTAATTATGTTGACTAATAATATGAGATTAGTTTTAAAGATGCTGTAAATTAGTGAAGATAGCAGTTAACAATACCTAATTGGTTGCGTTCATGTAGTGCACATGAATTTAAGGTTTGACCTGATTTGGCTGGAAGACCCTGTGTACAGTGAAGGGAATCGGATGTGTCTGCCAGCTGTGTGAAAGTTAGTAACGAAGGATATTAAAGCTGCTCTATTTATTCGACTACAAGGACCTTGGCAGGTATTAATCTTGGAGGAAAAAAGATAGTAGTATAAAATCGATATAATCTTGCTAGTAGGTTACCTCTGTCCCGTGCAGACAGTTTACCACTGAATTCCCGGTGTGATTCATGGTGTTAGTAAAAAGAAACAGCACATGATGCCCTCATTAGCTGCTCCGAAGAGCCTCTTGAATGGCACCTACACCATTCCAGTAAAACAAAACGGAGCCATCTTTTTGCCTATCTTGTAAAGGAAACTTCGGATAAGCACAGCACGTTTCACTATCTCTTCTTGTTCCTTTAGCCAAAGTGTACGGCATTTCGTTATATTAAACGGCCCCTAAACCAGCCAGAAGTCGAAATTTAGTTGTGGTGTTGCAGTTGAGCACAAGTGTAGAATGAACACATAACCATGAGTATTTTTCAAGACGGTGTCATAATAGTGGAGTTGCATGCATTTGATGATACGAAAGACGCCCTCGCTCGTTTCGCTCTTTCCTTCTCTCATCAGCTCGCTTTCCTCCTGGTTGAGTGTTCCTCCTCACCGTGCAAAGAGGATTCGTAGCAGGTGCGCGTGCCTGTGAGCGGACATACAGATGTTGCTGATGAGCAAACATGTTAATGTCACGGTGAATGTTCACGGGATGAGAAATGCCAAAAATGTAGGGGGAAGAGAAAAGACTGTTCCTTGGAATTTTCGGGGCACCTGCCACTCATAGCACTGCCGTGTTTGGCACTTATTTCTGGTAACACTGTTCTGCGCTCGATGTGCAGGTTGACTTGAAATTTTTAAAACATTTTTAGAAGTGGTTTAGGGGCCTGTTCAACATGTCAGCGTCATGTTGGTCTGCTCACTACTTATAAGGTATCAAAAGCGTGGTAGCTTGTGACAGTAGTCCCCCTTGCAGCAGTGGTTTGTTCAACAGATAAAAATGTTTTTTTTCGTGCACTTCTGTTGTGCATACATGGTAAAGTCGAAGTTTGAGCTGCTGTAAAAGTACATATCTTCAACCATGAAAAAAGTATTAGAAGATTGCAGATCTAGAAGTAAGTGATATGCATATGAACTCAAATGAGAAAAGTCCCTTATTACAGCTTTGTAAAGAGTTATGCATGGAATGTTAGTATGTAATGAAGATCTTGATTTCTGCTGAGATTGCACTGAATTAAAAACTGTTGCTTCTTGCACAGATGTCATTGTTTCATTCACTACACTGTGCCATATAACTTACTATAGCATTTGATGCATTTTATTTGTTCACTTCAAAACCCTTGTGTCCATTTCTGGTTTTTATATTTTTCAGACTGGTAACAGATTCATCAGTGGACAAACCATTTACAACATCACTGCAAAACATAAGACGTGTACTGTGTGATGAACCCCAGGATCTGTCCGCAGAAGAAGTTGCTGCCCTCTTTGGCAATGATGTCTCTGCCCACAAGTCAGTCCCAACAGCCATCTATGCCTTCCTCAGGTCACACGAGCCACTGCCATTCTTCCAGGTATGAGGGGGAATTCTTGATTGTCAGATGCAATGCAGTCTTATTTACTTACTCAAAGTGTTTCTGCAGTATTTTTTTGTGTTTACACAACATTGCCATTATCGGGCACAAATGACATGTTACTGGAGTGTAAATACACATGCCAGGGGAAGTAAAGAAAGCCCTAGAGGGAATGCAAAGAGGCAATGTGGCTGGTGAGGATAAGGTAACATCAGACCTGTTTAAAGATGGTGGACAGATTGTGTTAGAAAAAGTGGCCACTCTGCATACGAAGTGTCTCTTGATGGAGAAGGTACCAGAATCTTGGAAGAATGCGAGCATCACCTTATTTCATAAGAAAGAGACGCCAAAGACTTGGAAAATTACAGGCTGATCAGCTTACTGTCCATTGTCTACAAGCTATTCCCAAAATAATAACTGACAGAATTAAGACAACATTAGAAGTTCAATCAACCAAAAGACCAAGTAGGATTTCGTACAGGCTACTCAACAATAGACCATATTCATACTACCAATCAAGTGATAGAGAAATACATGGAATACAACCAACCCCTATACATAGCCTTCATTGATTACAAGGAGTCATTTGGTGCGATCGAGATGCCGGCAGTCATGCCGTCACTGTGGAATCAGGCCATCAACGAAGCCTATATAAACATACTTTAACAAATTTACAGTGGATCCACGTCACCATAGTCCTTCATAAAGTGATAGAATCCCAATAAAGAAGGGTGTAAGGTAGGGAGACACAATCTCTCTGATGCTATTTACCGTGTGTTTACAGAAGGTTTTTAGGGCCCTAGATTGGGAAGAGTTGCAGATAAGAGTTAAAGAATAGTATCTTGGTAGCCTGCGATTCGCTGATGGCCTTGCATTGATGAGTAACTCAGGGGTCGAGTTACAGCTCATAATTACTGAACTGGACCCAGAAAGCAGAAGGGTAGGTCTGAAAATTAATATGCACAAAACTAAAGTAATGTGCTACAGTATTGGCAGAGAACAGCACTTTTTGATAGGTGGAGAGACGCTGGAAGCTGTAAAGGAATATGCCTACTTAGGATAGGTGGTAACCGTGGAGACAAACAATGAGAGTGAAATAACTAGATGAATAAAGGTGGTATGAAGCATATTCGGCAAGAATTCTCAAATCGTGATTGGTAGTTTACCACTATCCCTCAAGATGAAGGTATATAACAGCTGCATCTTACTGGTACTTACCTACAGAGAAAAAAAAAACAAGAAAAACTTGGAAGCTTACAAACAGGGTTCAACTTAAAATGAAGATGACATGGCGATAGATGGAAAAAAAAATGATAGGTGTAACTTGAAGAGACCGGAGGAGAGCAAGGTTGGTCAGGGAACAAACGGGAGTTAAAGGATATCATAGTTGAAATGGAAAAGAAGTGGACACGGACCGAGCACGTACCGCATAGGCAGAATAACCACTGGTCATTAAGGGCATTAAGGGTTACTGACTGAATTCCAAGAGAAGGCGAATGTGTGAGAGAAAGACAGAAAATTATATAGGTAGATGAGACTAAAAAGTTTGCAGGTATAACGTGGCTGCAGAAAGCACAGGACGAGGTTGATTGGCGGAGCAGGGGAGAGGACTTTGCCGTACCATGGACATAGTTAGGCTGATGATGATGATGAAATAGACATGCCAATCACTTGTCGACATGCTGGGAATAGTGCAAATGCTTATGTACATGAGGGAATTCCTTGTAAGTACTAATAAAAATGGCGATTGTCTAAGCTTTGTCTTCTGTCTCTCTTTGTTTATGCAGAATTCAACTGGTAGAGGTAAAATTGATTCACCACCTTTTGCATGATCACATGACTTCTATTGTATTGACATAAAGATTGCTGTAGATTGAAGCCTGAAAATTATTTGCTTGTGCTAAACATTCAGCCACTCTTCAGAGCAATGAAATGCAGAAAAGAAAAACATGTTGTTGCTCATTTTAGCACACATGCAGTGGTCATTCAGCTCTGCCATTTGCGATCCTGTCTCTCTGTCCTTGCTGTCTATTTGCAGTCCTGTCTCTCATTGCTTACGTTTAAAGTTTGACATGATTTGAAGACATTGCTGAAAGGACATTTTGTGTTTCCTTCGTTTTAAAGTTTTTAAGTTCGCACTGCAAATAGTCTTCATGCTGATGATTCATATGTGCCAAAGTTGTTGTGAGTGATATTTTTCAAAAAAATGTTCCTTTTAAATCGTGCTATTCAAGGTTATTCAATAAAGCTTCATTTTAGAAAACCTTAAAGCTACATGGTATTTCAAAAAATACCATGTGCCTGTTAACTTCTACTAAAGGTTTAAGTTTATTTCTCTAGTGAGGCATATGTACAGGAGTGGTCATACTCAAACATCTTCTGCAGTTAAAAAGTTTACGACCTCGTGCTGTTGCTTACATAATTATTTATAACTGAAATATTGCTGTTAAAAATACAGGATATCATTGTGTAATTTTTGCTATGTTTTAAGAATATATATGATAGCACACAACACAACATCAAGACAAAAGAATTTCTTTGAAGAAGAGATATAGTTCAGTAATATAAGCTCTTAATTAACACTAGTACAATGACAGTGTAGGTTAAGATTTTGAACTGGTAAATTATTTTACACAAAAATAAAAAAGGCACTCATCTGTGGCAGCTGCTCTCTGTCGCATGACTTGTGATTGGAAAAATGCATTTATAAAAACCATGGATAGTTAAACCATTTGACCGCTGTCAGCTTAAGTTTCACTTTATTGCCTTAGTCTTTTCTTTGTGGCAGTGGTGAAACTTTCTTGCATGAAAGTTGTGGATGAACACTCTTCGTTATATGATGATCCTTGGACATCAAATCCTAAAAAGTTTGAATGCCTCACTATCTTTAAAATTTTGTTGTTGGAAGCTTGTTATAATTAAGTGTACCTGTATGTGTGGCATTGAAGGCTGTAATGCAAAGCTTTGTAGATATATTCTAATTTTAATACTGACATGGGCAAAATGCATCGAAGACTGGCCACAGACACACAGAGTGCAATGTGTGTAGGCACTGTGTATGTTGCTGTATCACTCTTCTGTGTCCTATCTTAGATGTGCTTTGCATGGCACTCAATGACTGATCAACAGGCCCAACAGGCAACTTTAATACTGGGGGAGAATACTGTGAGCTCATAATGTGTTTTTCCCATAGGTCGGCAAAATAATGTATACCTCATTCAGATTCACCCAAAAAATAAGTTTTGTTCTTGGGACTCATTCGGACTCAGACTTGTAAAGATTTTCCTCGGTCAGACTAAAAAAATTCTTTGCCGGACTCACTTGAGCGTCAACTCACCAAAACTATACTCGCTCAGACTCACGACTCGATCAGAGTCTGAGTGAGTTCACTCACTCATGAGTGGGCCGACCTATGGTTTCTGCATATTGATTTCAGCCTGGCTGCTCTTGTTGTGCAGACTAAATTGTGCCTTTCTGTTTTGTTTTTTTCACTGCAAAGACTGAGAACCCATTCGTCCGAGCCATCGTGCTGTCCATATCTGTTGGAGGCGACACGGACACCATAGCTTCCATGGCAGGAAGTATCTCTGGTGCTTTTCACAGTATTTCAGGCATTCCAACTTCTCTCCAAAGGCACTGTGAGGGCTTGGACATTACCCTAAAGCTAGCAGACGACATGTATGAGTTTGTGGGGTCACATTAGGCTGCTGGCAAACACTGCTATGCTGTATCTACAGCTCATGACGGACTTGTTCATGCTGAGAGAGCAGTGATTATTGAAACTCGCACTGCCCTGCTTTCGGGCAGAGCCAAAGAAAGTATCACATGGTAACAGCGAGTTTCGTAGTGCTCGTTATGGGTGCCAAGTAACAGTGTTCGACTTGGCTCTCGCTCATAGGAATGGTGTACTGTCTCTACTTTTGAACTTGGCCAACAGCTGTCTGCGTATTTCCAGTCATGTGCACCTAGAACTGGGTAGGGAAGCTTACTCTCTTCAGACAACGAATTTTATGTAGTGATAGCAAATGAGAGCTTGCTCACTTGAACCAGTTGTATTCGTTTGTTTGTTATAGGCAGTAATACTTGTTTGCTCTTTTTCTCATTGACAGCAGCATCAGTAAGCATATATTTAAAGGAAATGTTTGATCAAGGTTAGCTGCTATTAGTTGACAGCTTGCAGTAAATAAGAACCAGTGGGGGTGAATAGTACAGTCTTTATGGTTGCCTTCTGAGTTTCATTCTTTGTTTGCTGTTGACAGATGAACTATGTATATAATAATTAGGTCTGCCTTACTTCAAATAGTCAAAGCTGGGCAAGATGTAGTGAAAGCTCCATAACTCTTAATTAGTGGGTTTGTTCATATTTCTTATTGTTTGAACAACTAACTCTGGTTTAACCATGTTGATTCATTCAGAAAGTGTTTGCAAAACAGTATATTTTTAAAGAAACTTGCTAGATGTAGTGAAAGCTCCATAACTCTTAATTAGTGCGTTTGTTCATATTCCTTATCCTTATTGTTTGAACACTAACTCTGGTTTAATCATGTTGATTCATTCAGAAAGTGTTTGCAAAACAGTATATTTCTAAAGAAACTTGCTAATTCAAAAATAAATTGGTTCTGCTGCCAATAATTCACTCTGAAAGATGCTGCAGTAGGGTGATATGTGCAGCAAATAGGTCAAGCAGCCTAAATGAGATGTTCCTGTGCCATCCATCACTCCGTTACAGGACATCAGAAGTCATTATGATACCCTGATAGTCATTCACTGTTATGTGTTGTTGCCACTTTTGCATGCATTGTTGAAAATGACTGCCTCTTCACAGAAGCCTCACTGCACAAGCTGCAAATGTTTCACCTTTGAAATAAATGCATTCTTGCAATCTTTGGTGGTGTTGTCAAAATTAGGGTGTGGTGCCTGCACTAAGAAAGGGTCATAGCCACATTAATAGCTGGACCAATTGATAGGCAATTCAGTTCAGCATTGTCATTGATAGCAAACTTGTGTTAAAAATATATATGAGATACAAGCAAGGTGTTATCTTTTTTTACCATCATATGTGGCTCTAGAAGCTTGTGTAAATACAAGCTGTGTAAATGGTTGTTCTTATCTAACCCACAAGCAGTTAGCAAATAAAAAGGGCCTTCAAATGGTGAGAGGGTTATTCAGAGTGTAATGTTGCACTGTCACTCTTTGTGTGATGAATAGCTACAAAAAGAGCAAGCATCCTTGAAAACAAACTGCTTCGTAAATATTAAAAAAGTGCAGATGAGCTTTTTATAAACAAACTTGTTCTCTGTAATTTCACTGCCAAAACTCGCTCTATCTCTTAAGTTTTTTCATTTCGAGTTTAGTGGAATTCAGCTTTCTTACTGCTTCAATGAAACTTCAGATAATGGGCTTTTTTTTATTCATAAAGGGTACCTTCACCAATATTTGATGGTGCATGTTGTGTCATTTTAAGATGCAGTGCTTACTTTTGTAAAATATTTACATGTACAATTAAACAGTATTTTGAAATGTTGCTGCATCTGCTTAGATTTGTAATCCCTATTTAGTGTAAGAATGCTTGGTCTTCAGTTACCTAATAATTTTAACCAAGGTTCTTGTTGGTATATTTGTTTGTGAGAAAAAAAATTCACTTGCCATAATATTTCCTAAAACAGTATGGGTGAGCAAATATTAAAAAAACTTTGAATATCGAATTGATTTGTTGATATTAAAAATACTCAATATTTTTCTAATATATTCGGAATGAAAACCCCGATGGGAAAAAAAACCTCCCAAGAAATAAGACATCTGAAAACAGGGGTGTAATGTTTGTTTTAATCATTGAATTACCAAGATGCATGCAGCCCAAGATTTTACATGACTGTGGATGCTATGTTAACCAGATGAAGGCATTTTTACTTAAAGGGGCCCTCCAACACTATTCAAGCCCCCGTGTTTTATTCGCGTATTGTGTAGACTGTAGGACATACGGACTAACGCAGAAATACGGCAGTGATAACGGCACGCAGTATGAAGTTATTTGACTTGGAAGGTTCATTATACAAGAGAAAAAATGCCGACCCTCAACTCACTTTTCGAGGCATCACTTGACCATGTTTCACTCGTCCGTGACGTCGGAGGGCTGCCCCAATGAAGTCAGATAAAGCGCCTATGTAGAAGACGCTCGCACCTCATTGTTGCTTTTTTTCTTTCAAAGTAATATTGACCTTGTTGCGATAGTAACGAGCATGGTGCCTAACGCCTGGCTTGCCAGAACATGAGCAGGAGCTACTGTGCTGAAGTGAGGTATTTTCTGCTGTTTTTGACAACATTCCCAGTCACTCTCTTTTCTTATTCTGAGAAAGGAACTTGTGAAATGACCAGAACAGTGAAGTACTGTTGACCTTTTGCGCGTTGTTCGGTGAACCACCCGAGGAACAACTATGGTGCACTGCACCCCTTTAACAGCGCACGTGTGGAAAGAGACAGCTTGCAAACTCCCAAAAGCAAGAAGAGGGAAGAAAGAGAGAGAGGTCTTTCATATGGACATCCTACCCGGGCAAGCCGAAAGCGGAGATTGCATGCCTTGTACCAAGGCGTGCGACTCAATTTCACGCAGGGTACGCTATTATAGATAAGTGTCCCTGTGGTAGTTATCATGAGCAGATAAAAGGCTGCATAGCGATACATCTACATATTGATGACGCAAAAAAGCCCGTATCTGAGCGTGGCTACATACCGTTTGCTCATCACTGATGCGCGAAAACGTGCGTGTGACTTAAAGGGGCCCTGAAACACTTTTTTAAGTGACCATGGAATTAATTCACTGGAAGAGCTTAATAACTCACAAATTCAACGCTCCAAAACTTTTAAGAATTCATCTAGTGCGAGTGGAGTTACAAATTTTAGTCACATGCTGCAATTGCATTCTTTCTTCTCTCGCTGAAAAAAGCACTGGAAGCTAAGCAGAGAGAGATAGCAGGGGCAAAGAAAATACGTCATGCGCCCCTTGTGACCTTGAGCATTTTTTCTTTTTTTGCTTCGAATACACGGCTTTTCCAGTGTAATCGCGGACACCCGCGTGGACAAGTAACGGCCTCCCACGGCAATCTATGTCACGACCGAGTGCGGCATGTTCAAATCAGCCAATGGCTGATAGATGGGCTTTTTACCAGTGATTTTTGAGCGTCATCCGTGATTTGTCGAGAGAAGAGAAAGCAATTTTTTGCTGACTTCGATCATTTATTGTGAATTCTAGGCCGCCTGCTGTGCTATAATATTTGGCTCGTGTGTTGTCGGGAGCCTCCGCTACTGATAGGGAGCATTTTCAGATTGTGGTCAAAAAGTGTTGCAGGGCCCCTTTAAGTTCTCGTAGAGCTTTGTACTGTAACTTGTGTCCTTACTGAGTGTCAGTGAACTGCAGCATTTTGTAGATCCACTTGTAGCCGTCCCTATAGACTGCACACGACTATAAGTTGAGACTACGACTGCAATCGAATTGACACAAGCAAGCACCGATCCTGTGAATGCCTTTAGATGAAACTGTGGGCATGAAATATCAGAACCTATCATTTAGAAAACATGGTAGACCATGACGGCCTTGTGTTTTTAGTATTCCGATGCACAACGATAGTACGCAGTATATGCACCCTGGCAGTTTAATCACCGGGGTGGTTTAGTTGTTATAGCGTTATGGAGGCAAAATACTCGAGGTGCATTCAGGTGAACAAGAGTTTTAGCGTTAAACAACCAAATATACACGATGTGCATTGGGGAAAAGCAATCAAGATATGTGTAAGGATTTAGTGAGGGGATATAGAACAAACACAGCTGCAGAATATAGGCTATATGCATATATAAGCCGATAGCAATTTTCAAGAGATATGCTTTTAATCGTGAACTAATCTGAGCATTTCTTTATAATATAAAAACTGTACTTGATATATGTCTACAAAGCAGTCAGTGTTAAGTGGAACAAGCAACTGATACTAGTGTGTTACTGTCCATTTGCAGTCCCTCTAGTGTATGTGAGAAAAGGACACAGAGAACCCTATATGAGGGTCCTGCAGAAAACAAACTCTATAGCATTTTATGTACGAGAACCACTTGATATACAATATTTCATTGAGTTTTCATTGAGCGCACTTCCTACAGTGTTTGAAGTGCATTGTAAATTATAAAATTAGTAATTAGGCCAACTATTTTCTACTAATTAGGTGTTCAAGGATAACAGAAAGCCACCCATCATCGCAAGGCGGTGGCAAACAAAGACGCTCGCTGTGCATGACTTACGTTAACTCGCACAGGCGCGGGGTTACAATACGATTGCTGATCACTAGCCGCTTTTACTCGGCAAACGAGAAGAAATTTGCGCTTTTGAGATCGCGCGCGCAGTGGTGTCCTGCGTATGCACGAGCTGTCTGTTACCGTTGTTGGTGTAGCAGCAGAAGTAGCCATACCACCTTTCATGGAGCCTGCCGCGCTTGCTGAAAAAAAAGGGCGGGGGGCGCATTTGCGTAATGCTCAATGAAAGCATGACTCGGCTTATATATTATGATAATTAATTGAATTAAGTGAGCACCAATATATAATAACTGACTGTCATCACCCCGTTGTTTAACGTACACCTAAACTTTCACGGGCCTCGAGCTTTTTTGCCACCACTGAAAAAAGTGCGGCCGGAATTCGATTCAGCTACCTACGGATCAGCAGTGGAGCACGATAACTCTACCATAACTACCACAGTTGCGGTAGCGATTCCGCAAGGTATGGTTGTCTGACTACATGGTATACACAATGTCCTTACTTAGAAGAATCGAAGTACCTCAGATACTTTGAGGTATACTTTTTAAGATGCCCAAAACTATCTAACTTGGAAAAAAAAATAGGCGACCCAAAAGCTTCGCCTTTAGGAGTGTGACGCGATAGCGATATGCGATCAGTAGTGCATACTTCAAACTTTTATTGCATGAAACCTTTTCGAACCAGCTAAGCAGCCACTACGTGGCCTTGAGAAAATAGGCGCAGTAGCGTGCATGTCTTTTGTAGTTTGATACTGGCTTTCAACCACGGAGCCATTATGATAATCACATATTCTGATGCCCGTCGGCAATGGACACTTACCACGCATTACCGTACTCCAATATTTCGCATTGCATTCTGAAACATATATACAGGACGCATGTGTTTTTGAAGCATGAAGGCTACTTTCACTGCATTTCCGAGCAGAGAAAGTTCTTTTCACTGTTTCCACAAACAGTATTGTGGCTGTCCCTGCCGCGGTGGTCTAGTTGCTAAGGTACTCCGCTGCTGACCCGTAGGTCGCGGTATCGAATCCCGGCTGCGACGGTTGCATTTTCGATGGGGGCGAAAACGATGTAGGCCCGTGCGCTCAGATTTGGGTGCACGTTAAAAAACCTGAGGTGGTCGAAGTTTTCGAAGCCCTCCACTATGGTGTCTTTCATAATTATATGGTGGTTTTGGGACAATAAACCCCACATATCATCATCAGAGGCGTGGCCATGTGGTATAACAGCTGCATGCCACGCAAACGACATGGGTTCGATCCCCACTCGGACCCAAACAACCCTGGTTCGGTCCCCATTCTGCTCCAGTGTTTTTTAATTATTCATTCATTGCATCGTTCTTGATTTTTAGGTCACGCATGAGATGATGATTTTTCGCTCACAACCACCGACGCTGGAATTTATGCGAAACGAGTTCTTTAATGATCTCATTTTAAAAAATCGCAGTATATCCACGAAGTGCATGAGGATGAGTGGGACGAAGCGTCCCTCCGTCCGTCTTTCAACTATACGACAACCACTAACGCCGTCTAGTGATATCAATTCCATGGATGGATGGATCGATGTGGCTGTGCCCTTTAGATCGGGTGG